ATACACCAGCTATATTGACTACAGAATATACTACTTAATATAAACCCTGGCGAATAATAACTAACGTCCATTCATATAAAAAGTTACTGCCATCAGTAATAAAAATATCTGATGAGCTTTTTTTTATACAACTTAGAATGGCAAACAAGCTGACGGCCCACCAGATGGAAAGTGGTAACCGTCGCCTATAGACATGAGCAGTACATGGACATAACAGAGTATACTGTTTCGCCCATGATACCCCCATGCGTTGCCATTCCTGAGGACTCAGATATTATTCCTCTGTACCCTATAAATTCACGCCATATCCCACCCTTCAAACCGAAACACAGCCATGCAAACACAACTGCTTCACGGTAGAAACACGAATGGGACAGAGGTACACAAGCAATCAACTTTTGTACAAAGTCTCCCTCTGGTAATCTTAATCGTAATCCTCCCTTAATCTTAAACAAACTCTCACATTTTTATTATTATTAGGAGAGAAAATTCACGTAAAATAACAGAACCATGGCTACCATACAAAAAACGAGGCACGAATCAGTAAACGATGTTATTAGCAGGCAATAATATTAGCTGTATGCGATCGCATAATTTAAACGACTTATGTGTCTATTACATTTTTTCAAATAAGTAGGTATGTGCAGTAATTTTTTTTTGTATAAATATATCTGTTTCTTTATTATTTAACTTAAAGACATCGCAAACCCCTGAGACACAGCTATCATCATCATCATTGTCTTACATGATCTTACATATTACTTAAATATATGTATCGTGATTAATAGATCCCTACCTATATTTTATTTAGCGCCAGCTACTGACTGCAAATAATATAGTTTGATTTATTCTTCATTTTACAAGCTCCTTAATTATTTAAAAAAAGATTTTTTTTTCTTTTACATCAGTCGTTATCTGTCCATTGATGAAAATGAAATAAATCATTATTAAATAATAGTTTTAGTTTTGAACATGAAATCATTTTATTAACGTTTGGATGTTTATTTGTTGGTGCTTATCCTACATTAACATATATATAGATATAATCTAAGCATCAAGTTCATAGGCTACGGTAACCACTTACCATTAGGTGGGCCGTATGCTTGTTTGCTACCACAATGGTATAAAAAAAAATCTAAAGTATATTTTATTAATATTTATGCGAATGAAGCTTGGAACTATAAGTCTCGTCATAAACGTGACCAACTCAGCGCCCGACTTGCCTGTAGTTTCTCATTCAGAAGCAGCAATAATACCTCCCCTCGTGTTTAACTTAGACAAACATCACTTATCCCTGCGTAATATCGATCCTTTAATAAGGACTTAAGTAGGTGTCTATCTATATTATAAAATCTCATTTAGTTGGACATATTAACTTGTCTATTGTTGAACTTATTGTCTATTGAACATAATTGTCTAGCGGCTACACACTTCGCTTTACCCTTCCATGGTATCCTAAAATGTTCACAGTCGCACGCATACTAATTGTAGCAGAATAATTTTAACCAATAAATCTATTTTTTTTTTTCGCCATTTTGTGCCGGCGTTGAGAATTATTTTTAGAAATATATTAAGTTTACACCCATCTCTAATCCTATAGATAGGGGGGAAAGAGATTGTTAGTAATGGAGACTGAGAATCCCATTGCTAGCAATATACCTAACCAGGTCGACCTCCTCGCGGTTCTTCCTGGAAACTATCATGGTTAATTCCTAAAGAATTCATCATGATGGGCTAACTGGTCTGTTTTCATTCTCATCTATCACCCTTCACTGGTGCCCCGCCAGCGTATCCCGTTAGCGCAGGCGGGGTTACCATACCATTTTCACCCATTAAAAAAAAATCCTATAGATATTAATTTTGTCATAACTTCATACATATTAAGCAACTAAGAAGTAATTTTGCCTAAAATAAAATTGGTTTTTTGTTACTACAAATTATCTATCAATTTCACGCTCCAATTACATTAAGATCCCATATTCAAAACTAATTAATAATCTAATTTAAAAAATAAACTAATATCTGCCTATTAATTACGACATAGTTATTAAACTAACTGTATTTCGCAGCTTTGTATAAGTGAATTATGATATAAATTAATTCCGTAACGTAAAAATTTATTTAGTAATCCTTCTGTATAACAAATATTAAAATAACATTAAAAGATTTAAACATTCAAACATCTTTACAAACGATACTGGATATCGGGAATTTAATTAATTTAAAATAATATCTTTACAAACCTTATTAATTTTTTTTTCATAAATAATACATTAGTTAGTAGAAACGGTAGGATTGAGTAATCCAAATGTCAAATAACTGTAATCACATTTATAGGAATGTACAAGTAGGTAACCACTTTACTATTCAATATTAGATATATTGATATATAATTTACCATAAGTTACCCCTAAGGCTTTAAACTAAGTACTATCATAATAAAAAGAAAATACCTACTTTACTTTTTCTATGGTTACCTATATTTTTCTTACACCCTCTGAAAGTCGACCGTGGCTATTCGTCACGCGGTCACACTACCATTAATTTCTATAGAATAGTACATTGAATGCTTTTATAGCACTTTCGATAACACCAAAACGACATTAAGGTCTTATTTTTCAGATGCCAGTAAATCAAGCATGATGTAGATATTTATTATACTAACTTTTTATTATAATAAATATTTCATTAAAAATTTGTTCGTTAGAAAACTCTTTTTAAATAATCATATAATGAATTCTTTTTTTGTTAGGTAATGCTGCCTTTGTCAAATTACACTATGAACACTCTTAACTTAACCACTGAACGTAAAATTTATAACAAAATCATTATAATTCTATTTTAAGATTACAGTAAAATAACCGTAACAAGCACAACGAAAAATATTTTACCGTGTTTTTTATTTCCAAGTATATTTAGAACAAAAATATGTACATATACAAAAGTATTTGACACTAGTATGAGTTCAGCATTGCTAAAGGATGAAGCCGATGAAGGTATTATTAATTATAATAAACTTACTACTCGAATCAGAAATAATAAAGAAGCGGCTGTTAATAAAATCATAAAAAAGACAACTGTTATATTTCTATTATTTTGACAGTTTATATCCACAATATTTATTGTATATAAAGGTACCAGCCTGGCTTCGCACGAGTAGATACATTTTTCGAAAATAATATACAGCCTATGTTACTCGCTGACAATGCAGTATTTTATTTGTGAAAACATTTTTAAAGTAGGTTGAATATTTTTTTAGTTTATTCATTACAAACAAACAAACCTTTAAATCTTACTTCCTTAATTCCCTTCCCTATATAATTTATTTCTATATTACTAGCAAACCAGACCCGCTTCACACGAGTATATAAAATTTTTAAAAAATAATCTATAGCCTGTACTATTCAAGGATAATGTAGCATTATAACAGAGAAAGAAGTTTTGAAATCGGTTCAGTAGTTTCTGAGTTTATTCGTTACAAACATACAAATCTTTCCTCTTTATAATATTAATATAGATAGACAATCCCGACAAACGTTATTTTGCCCCCTAGAATAACTTACTATTCCTTTTTTTATATCGGGATAAAAATTAGACTATTTCTAAAAAAACATTTACTATAAAATTGCATTAAAATCGGTTGAGTGATTTCATAGATTAGCGGCAACAAGTATCTATCATCCATCAATTATACTATAGGAAGCGATCATGCCCATTCGGTGCATCGTTGAAATGTCCGTGGCCGATTTATACAAATATTGGTGTAAAATTTTCTGTTTGTGTCTTTCTTACTACTATAGATGCCAATTTATTACATATGACGAAAGTAATATTAGCACTAATACAACAGACTTTCAATAAAAAAAAAGAATCTAACAATTACCAATGTCTACAATCCATTAAATCATTCAGATAAAAGATCCAGCATAAATATCTTCATATCCAGACTCATGTATAAATACACCCAAAGACTCCCGAAAATATAATTAATCTCTCTTTAGTAAAAAAGTAAAACACTTTAGCCGGAAATACAAAAAAAAATCGTTGTATGTTTTGGTGGAAACGGGGTAAAATACATTTCACTATGTAAATATAATTTCTTTGTCTGACAAGAAATTTATAAATAATAATGGGATTGATTCTAAAATGCTATTCTTCTAAACTTTTCAAAAATTAAAATTTAATACGATATAAATTATTTTTTCTGAAGACTAATTTGAACTAAATTTCTAATAGAATAAAATCAAAATTATTATAAATTTACGATAGTCCATAAAACAGTATTTATGCGAAAGTAGGTTATTAACAAAATAAGTTTTGAGTTTAATCTAAGATTTAGAGAAATGGCACCACAGAATTGACTTCCATTCCTACATCTTTGTAATCAAAGATTATGTAATTCCTTGTTCTTAGGGAATCAACCCTAATGTCTACAGCTGTCACTGTCAATATTATCACTGTCTTGTTATAGAACTTACGTCAATCGAACAGTATTACCATATGATTACGTTTATTCCATTTTTTGTAACTTTTGAGAAAAAATTGATATTTTTTTTTAAGAAAATATGACTTTGTAATGTGTTACATGAATGTAGGTACTGTTATATTCAAGATAGTATCAATATCCCAAATATCATTCGCCAATCACATTACGAACGCTATTTCTTATATTATTATAGAAAGTAATATTCTACTAATAACACTGATAATACCAAAGAGAGAAAGTTTGTACAAAAGTAATTTTCACGGGTACCTCTGTCACACTCGTATATCTGTCGTTCTTACTTGATTGATTCTCAATTTACATCGTAATAATTTTTTCTACGATTTTGTAATCTATCACTATACACACTATAATGCGTTAAATATAGTCTAGTCTAGTTTTTTGTAGAGATAGAGTACACTCTCAAATCCATGACTGTATACAGTTTTTGTCTCTTCACTCTCATATATATATGATATTACCTATTTTTATTATATATATATATATATAATAAAAATAGGTAATATCGATATTATGTGACTACTAAAATTCGCACTTATATATTAATTTTAATATCTGATATCAAAAATGTTTAAAAAACTAATCGTTAATTTTCTCTATAGCTCCTGGCAATACTGAAAACGTCACTTTTACAATATTACCTTTAATTTAACTTTTACCCAATACAAATAAAAAAAATATATACAATAAAATTAATTAAAATTACAAATAATGTTTAGATTATTGTTTCGTTATATAATAAAAGAAAGCAATCTACAATTAAATAATACACAACAATATGTATTTAATGTACAATGAAATAAATATAAACAACGGTCTTATTTCTAGTATCAAATGTAATAGCTAATAATTCTTCCCTCGCTGTCGGTAAACCATAAGGTAAACCTTCCAACATTAAAATTATTTATTATTAAAAAAAAACTCACGAATTCTTAATAATTTAAGGTGCTTACATAACATTTATAATCTATCTATAACATTTATATATATAATTTTTTCTACCTTAGAATTTCAGAAATTGCATGATTAGTCGATGTACTTTACTATTAATATTTTTAACCCCTTGTCTTCTGTTTTCAATGTTCGTTTGTGAGTATTTTAAAAAATATATTACAAAAAATAAAACCATGTCTTTATATGTTTAAAATTTTAAAGTTGTTCTCATTCTACACTGTCATTCTAGTCAGAACATATAATTAAAAATCTTTAAGTAATAAAATCTTTTAACTGATATTAAAATTGTAAAAATATGGAAAGACATTTTGACATTTATTATTCAGTCATACTTTTATTTAAAAAAAAATTAAATCCAAAATAGTACATTGGTAATTGAATCTTATCATGAATTCATATATCTCTTAACTTACAGAAACAAAACTATAATTCAGTTACAACTAGTATCAAGTTAAAAATAAAATTAAAAAAGATAGTTTTTGTTTAACCTTAAGTTATTGCATATCACACTTTATAATTTTTTTTTTAATTTACTGTCCATTTTCTTCTGTATTACAGACAAATCTTTGCTACCATTAAAACTATGAACCAGTATTAGTGGAGAAAGACTTCACACAGTGGAAAGGAGTTTCTCATAAATGATATGAGTATGTATGTATCTTTTAAAAACAACCATAAATAGAATAATTGGTACTCATCTTCCATTTTATACCATCAGCGGTATGGTGTTTATCCAGTAGTAAATATGTTTTAATCACAGTGCTACAACTGTTAATTTATATTTCTAATAAATATTGTCGACTGACGGTTATTATTGTTGTTATGATAATGTTGTGCACTGGGTTCAATCTTTAGTATATAATAATTATAAAAAAGTATTTACCATTGTACAATTTTTTTATACATAACTAGCATCTTGCCCTGGTTTTTTTTTTGCTTTTTTTTATATAATACGACAAGTTACTTGGTAATAATGTAACTTCCAAAAGGTGAAAGAATTTTTATATTTGGTTAAATAGTTTTTGAGTTTACCTATTGCAAACAAACATCTCAAAAATCTTTTCTCTTTTAAATATTAGTTTAATTGATTTCTTGCTTGTTACGCCTCAATTGTGTTAAAACTTATAATAATAAAAAAATATTTAGTATTTATATTATTATCTTTATTTCCAGAATAAAAGACGACATTCTGATTAATAGAAGATGAATTTTGAAAAAGTTGATGTAAATGCTGTAAAAATTGATTACAATAGAGAGCAGTAGTGATTGATTTTGTTTCTATGCCTGTATCTATGAAGATAAAAGAACATGGTATGCATACTAAAAGTGGCTACAGTTTTCCATAATATAACTTTCTTGCATTCTGTTACTATAACTTTACCATCAAGTAAATTATATGCATATTTACTACTTAAAAAAATATTTTTAATTGTACTAACATTAATTAAATTTAATAACCTAAGTTTAATACCTGAGACTATACCAAATTTAATTAAAATTGATCAAATTGTTTTTGAGAAGTAAACAATAAATTAAGTTATATTCTTATCTAACTTTATTCTATTTTGGAATTAAATCAATAACTCTAGTGCACAATATAAAAAAAATACATTCTATAAAATAAATAATGCATATATTGCTAAAATAATAGTTGCAACAGCATGAGAATAAAAAGTCTGTCATTCAAACAATCTTTTCCAAATAACTTTTTGTTATTATTCTGTTTAAAAACTTGATCTTATATGATATTTCTGACTAATTAATTCATTTTCACATGCTTAATATATTTTAATATCATGAATAATGTTTGCTTTCAGTATGAGATTTCGATTCAAGAAGAGGTTGCATATCTACTATCCACAAAGAAAAAGAAAAAATCACTTATAATTATTGCACCATACTTATTAAGCTAAAGGAAGAAGAATTTCATTTTGGTTTACGTTAATATTTGAACTAGTTGGCATATATCTTAATATTACTATATTACATTTGTTTGTGGTTAATATGTTCTCTCAGTTTTTTTTTTTTTTACATGTAAGTACAAAAAGCCAGGATGATAGTAATCATTTATTCTTTGAGTTTAGATGTTATCCATACTTACTCTACAAACTATTTAGATATTCATACTGGAACAAAACAATTAGTAACTTAAGATTCCTCATGATCTGAAACTGAAATTGAATATTCTCAACAAAAATACATGTAACTTAATCTAGTTATTAAATAAATGCTATAAAATATATTGTATACTTATAAAACTGATAACAGTGTAATTAATTACTCATACAAAATTTCGTGTACTTTTCTGTTCATATGGCGTGGCACAGAGTGCATCCGCCTAAAACATAGTTTGAGAAAGTGCATTTTGTAAAGGGAGTTTTGGACAACGAAATTTATGATGAGTATCAGCAAACTTAAATACTGAACTTTTAACTTGATAGTATTAATAATAATAAAAGAGAAAATTAAATTATATTTCCTGTATTTATTTATAAAAATCTTTACAAAATACTTTTTTATAGTAAAAAAAAGTATAATAGTTCTTTATTATCTCAAGAGATGGCGCCATGAATAGTACCTACGAACTATGTTTGATTGCTTTGAGTGAATTTAAGCTTTAATTTACCTGTTTCATATTAATACCATTTTATATATTAAAATTTTAATTAGGTAACAAGTGATACAATAAGACTAAGATATCGAATCCATTGTATTTTATACCTGCTACTACTACGAAACAGAAATGGCAAGACGCCATCTGTCACTGTTTCTATATATTGCTGCATTAAATTACTTTTTGTTACATATACAAAAAGTAATTTAATGTCTAATATTGTGTATGTAAAATAATAAATTTTATTTATGTATATAAAATAAGCCATGGCGAACATAATTTTTATGTACTTTTTAATTGAATATAAAGACATTTATATAATTTTGTTATAATTATTGGATGAAGTTTAATTTTTGTACCATGTTAAAATAAATTGAAACGAAACTTTATGCCACTTTTATAATATTAAATCACACTTTTTTTTTCAAATTTTAGTAGTTGATATAATTAATATGAAAACAATTTAAGCAATTATTTTTAATGCACTCTTTCAAATTCTTTGAATATTTCAATGATTCTTTTAACCAATTTCTTTAATTTTTTTTTGTAATACTTAAAATAGCAAACAAGTTGATAAAAAATGGTAGCCATCGCCTTTAGACATGTAAAAGCACCATAGATATCACGGAATACTCTGTGTTACCCAGTTGAATAGTTCTCCTAATGCGGTGTCATTCCTGAGGACTATAGTATTATGCGTCATTTCTTATAACTTAAATTATACTTCTAATTTCGCTACCATGACTAAAAATATAAAACCCTTCAAACTGAAATATAGCCAAGCAAACAGAGCTACTTCACGGCAGAAACATGAATGAAACAGAAATACCTGTGTAGATTTTTTTTTTTATTATTCTATTAGTTTTTTTGTAAAATAATGATTTAACTAGCCCGTGGTGGGCATGTAAGTATGAAATATATTACACATAGATATTATAAAGATATATGGCTTCCGGCTATCTATACCAAATTACGTACAAATCGATCGAGTAGTTTACCCATAAAATTGTAACAAACGAATAAAACATTATCTAGTTATATAAAGTACCTAAGAGTTTTTATTTAATGAATCTTCAACAAAAATTAGGGTAGGTATTATCTGTTATCAACACATAATTAATTAACAACATTATCAAATTCCTAGTTAAATTATATTTCGTGTTTATTAAATGTAATATGATTACTTTTTTGTTTTAATTTTAATTCAATTAACTATTTAAAAATATGTTGTGATTGTTTATTAGTTATGTCCACTAAATAAAAACAGATCATAACAAATAGTACAAATAGAACCACCACAAAAACCTTGACACGTCAACAGATACCATTTATCACAATAAGGTGTTTTCAGTCTCCGATCTACACAAGCTGAAATTACAATACAATAATAAAAAGTTTTCACACAATGGAACATGAAAGTAAAATCGATTTTCTTGTTGACGTAGCCACTGTTCATAGCAACGCTGAACAGGCTGTGTGGTGTGCACCACTGAAACGCAGTGTAAATAACTGCAGTAATGGACGAGGAAAAAGCAAAAGAAGAAGTTGAAGATTGGAAGGTTTTCGAGGCCTTGTGCAGTAAAAGTCCCACCGAAGTAAGTCAAACATGATTATTTAATTTAAAAACATATAATTTCATAATTTATTATGCAGTGTATTTCTTGATACTCAATATTATCCCCAACTATAAGCAAATTTTAACCTGTTTGAAATATTTTAAGTAAATAATTTTAGGATACATAACTTCCAAAGAGTTTATGTTTGGAATTTTATGGTGGTTTAGTCTAGTCTCAAACTGTCAGTGCATTATACGTAATACATCATGCGTAGTTACATCCCAGTTACAATAGCATTGACTCGTAAGTTTACGATCTCGTCCAAACCATACGGCCTGATAACTCGCTTCAACTCTGACTTCTGCATCTGGAATTACTCTCGTGATCATACATATTTTGTTTTATATTGATGGCTTTAAATATCTGCTTATATAAAATTTGGTTTCCCATCTCTTTTTTCAATGAGTATAAAGATGATACTTTCATCAGACAGAAGTGTGATTGAGAAATGCACAAGTATCCGACTAACTAGTATTAGTACAAATATTTTAATTATTTCAGACCCTATAGTTAAACAAAGATAAAAAATAAATGTCTGGCAAAATGTGGATTGTGAACTTCTAAAGAAAAAATTGTTAGAATCGGAGATTTGTAGCCCCATTACTGGCAATATTTCCTGCCAGTTCGACTTTCACGCAGATTCTTTTTAATGGAATGATAATCCCATCTATATTATTAATGTACACTTTTTTTTTGTTATTGGGTAATAATGAAATAGTCGAACCGCCTGCGCTAATAGTATACGCTGACGAGGCACCAGTGAGAGATGGTAGGTGACGATGAAAGCAGGTCAGTTAATCTATCGTGACTAAATGCACTAGAATTAACCACGATGGTTTCCATGGGGAACTACGTGGAGGTTGACCTGATAGGGTGTATTGCTAGCAAAGGGGCTGTTAGACCCTATTACTAACAATCCCTTTCCTTCCATCAGTATATACTAGCAAGGCACCACTGTGAGATAGCAGGTGAGGATGAAAGCAGGTCAGTTGACCCATCGTGGCGAATTCAAGAATTAACCAGGAGTAACCGCCTGAGAGTCGATCTAATAGGGCATATTACCAATGGAGCCACTGATCCCCATTTATACAATTTCTTCTATTCCACCTCTGTGCGGTTGAACTGACAGGATACAGATATGAATTTATGAAAACTGAAAACCTTTATGGTTAATTCTTAACGAGTTCGTTATGCTATACCACCGGTAAAATTAAAAAGCTCACATTACACAAATCATAATAGGATTTTCCAAATTTAATAGGCCTCACGCGCTAAGGACTTAATAATAACGAAGTAGTAGGTACATATACTATTTTATTATCAGTCATTAAAAAATGTACCTACCTAATATTTTCGAGCCCTCCGTATCAGAAGCATTATCTTGCAATAAATTGATCAAGTGTGAACTGAACTCACACGCTGAGGGTTCCGTACAAAAGATAAAATTACCTGTACTGCATTTCATATAAAATAGGTACCGAATGCTTATTTATTATTATTGATACTGTAATTCGTATTTCTTATTTTAGGCCCTAATTGTGATTAAATGGGACCGAATAACTAAGTTTGTTTTTAAAGGTTTTTAGGGTTCCGTACAAAAAGATACAAAGGAACCCTTATGGTGCGACATTGCCCGACCGTCTGTAAGAACACCATAAGGATACCCTTATGGTGCTCTTACAGACAGATATATACATATCTTAAAACTACTAATGCCGTTAATTTGAAATTTGAACGACTTTTACATATATTGGTCCACACATACTGCAATATAATCGAAAAAATATTCTTTAATTTCTTTACTTAAGGGTCCAAAAAGGATACTTACTCAAAATTTATAAATGAACCTACTAGTCAAAGTAGATATTATATTAAAGGACTTTATTTTGTATATTTTAATACTAATTTTTATTTATTTTTATAGTGTATTTTTTTTACTTATGGTCGAAAATATGAAAATAAAAAACAATCCTAACCAAATTTATTTTAACAATAAAAAAGAATTATTGTTAAAATAAAAAAATTGAAATAATTATTGTTTATAAAGTTATACGTGAATAATATATTATACCAAAAATAAAACGATTGTTTCTAACTAATTTCATTTTGCTGTCCAGTTTTTAACCACAATTACGTTATAACCCAAAATAACAAAATTATGAATTGCAGTATCAGTACTAATAACTACTCGTATTAAGTGTCTATTTCATATGATCGATTATCGAGATATAATCGATTATAAATGAGTAACGAGTGCCTATCTAGTAACAGATACTTATTTACATACCTAATTAATAAGTTGAATTTGATTTACAAAAAAATATAAATCATTTCAGTTTGATAAATTAGTATGGCACCAACAAAGGAGTTCTTTAATAAGAATAATAATATATGAAATTATTGCGTAACATAGTAGTACAAAAACACCTTGTCTCTTATTAAGAACGTCCTCCTTTTTAAAATCTGTTGAATAAATAGAAAACTAAAATATCTACAATTTGTTTCATGATTATTTTTAAATCAAACTTCATCTTTGCAATATTACAATGATCATATAATGTCAAATTAAATATTGCTCTAGGTATAGTATACGTGTGTATATGCATTCGTATAATATAAGCAAACGAAGGGCGATCCCGTACCTCGTACCGATTTCTCTAAAACATAAACGTCGGTAACTATAAATAACATACAGGTCATAGCTTTATCCCTCCATTGTAAAAAGGTTTTTATTTTTCAATGGTACGCTCCTTATTCAAGGCGCAGTAACTCAAAAACGCGACCTCGTTATCTAATCAATAGACTAAACGAAGTAATAATTTGGCGGGGAAGTCTCCCCAGTTTCATGTAAATAACCAACGTAAGTTGGCACAGTGAGCATGAAGATATCGTGACTCTTGGCAGGCTTGAAATAGCGACCCATATCACGCTACTTTTCAGTGCATTTGCCTTCAGTTAGTTGCCTTTTGCACGCCAAATCCAAACGACCTCTCACAGATTTCTCTATTTTACATTAAACAGTATTAAGTACAAGCAGCGTCATGGATTTTTGTAAGTTATTTATTAAAGAACTTGTTGATGTACCCCTAATTCGTCCAATACACTTTGTTCGGGTGTAAATTATTCCTTAGGAATTTATTACCGAAGTAAAAAGTATCCTTGTTTCGATCTTACAACAAGTATTTTTAAAATTTTCATAGTTCATTTAAAATAATCATCGATATTGTACTATCCTATAAAAAGGTATACAAGTATATATAAAAATGTACTTATATACCCGTTGACTTGAGAACTACCTCTCTTTTTTCATCGATTATATAGTAGCTTCTTAAGGATATAATTCCGATATAATTTGAGTTTTAAAAGAAGCAATATTTTTCAGATGGATGCAGATGTTGGTAATGATGTCATCACAACTCTAAGAAGTGACCTAGCCGCTCTCCAATATAAACGGGATAAATTGATATCTGAAGTGAGTCTATTTTTTAAATATATTAATTCATAATTTTATTAAATTATGTATATGCTTAATTTTTTTTTAGAATAGTGATTTAAAAAACCAAATGCTGTCCCGAGATCAAAGAATATTAGAACAACAGGTTGAGATAGATCACCTTCGTGAACAAAATGCTCGACAAAATGCTGTCATATCATCTCTTAAGAAAAAAATTCAAGATTACGAAGAAATACAGCGAAATTTACATGCGTCGCAAGGTAGGACCGACCTCACAGTGCAAACTTTACAAAGAGATAATCGCTACTGTGAAGAAAAAATCAAAGACCTAGAAAAAAAATTAAGAGCCCTTGAATTAGAATGCCATAATGAGGAGCAACAAAAAGAAAATGCACGTTGTCAATTTCATGACCTGGTTCGAAGATTATCAGCTGCCCTTGATTTTGATTTCTGTGACACCACACATACACATTCTCCAGAAACTCTTATTATAAAAGCCGCAGAACTGGTACAAGAGATCACAAGGTTGAAGAATAAATGCATGAACACAACGGAAAACTTATCGACTGTGGAACAGGATCTAAGAAGTTGCCGAGATGCCTTGGAAAGAGCAAATGCGGATAAGGATATGCTTCAGCGTCAGGTGTCATCGCATATCCTAGATATCGAAAGGCTGAAACAAGAAAAAGAATCATTGACTGTACAAAACAGAGTTATAGAGCGGGAACTCCTTGAAGCGAGAGACAAATTATCACATTGCTCGAAAAATTTAAGCGTTGTTACAGATAATGTAAATCAGAATGAGTCCATAATAGTTCAACTAAAAGGTAACTTGCACATTTCCGATAGCATCTAAAAATATTATAATTAAAGGTAAGTAAGTAATTTCATACTATTGACTACTAATCGTGATCAAATGCGATCCTCTTGATGTTAATAGTTTCTAGACGACGACGACAACTTTACATACCCTCCAAAGCATGAATCAAGACAACTATTTTTTAATGTTCCAATTATGTATTTAAAAATCCAATAGTTTAGGCTAGAATTCGATACCTGGACCTCCTACCGCAGTCAAGCGATGTCGCACTGAGCTGTCACTGTCTTCGTTTATAATTCCATAAAACGTACGGATTAAATATAATAACAATTAATATTTTTCAGAGGACTTGAGACACAGAGAGGAAAAATATCAAAGACTGCAAACTGAATTTCGAAATACCATGGAGTCGATTGCAATTCTACTTAGTTTGCCTACTCGATTTGTCGAAGCACATGAGAGCACAATAAAAGACAGAATACGTGAAATATTAAGCGAAAACAAGGACCGCGCTGTGGTAAGTAATCTAAATCTATCTAAAATAAAATTAAATAATATCTATATATTACTAATATAATAAAACTGTAACTAGACGATATCTGTACATGGGAGATATTCAAGAAAAATTAATATGAGGACATTAATTTTTAGAAATTTTGTCTGGTATATTATGTTATGTTTGTTTCGGCAACACACGAAAACTACTGTTCCAAATTAGAAGCGATTTTCACAGTTGTATTTCTGAATATCTAACTTAAAAATGGTGTAGGTATGTTATATCTTGACACGCCATCTAGAAGTAATCTGTTGCATTGGTTTTTCTACTTCTGAAACCATGTACGAGTATAAATAGCGGGCAAAACGCTAGTATACCTATATAGGTACGTGTGCATATATATCTTATTGGAGAGTTTATGCCCGTAAGTCACCACGCTAGGCAAGCGGGTTGATGTCTGGAATTATTGGAAGGATTTTGAGTGAATTTTAAAAAGGATTTTTACAGGAGTTTAGGGTAGAGGATAGGATGTCACTATTTGGAAAAATATGATACGATACGATACGATGTGGCAGATATGGTCCTCGGGGGGCGCGTACTCATATTTATCGTAAAGAATATATGTATATATAATTATATTCATCTGTGCTTAAATTTTCCTTAACCCTTTGAGTGCCAACAAGCGCCATCGTGCTCGTGGGCATTGCAACTAAAAGTGCCACGAGCGTCATAGCGCTCGTGAAATAGTTGCTGTTTAGCTTGCTGTAAAAAAAAGGAGGAGATACAGTTTTTTAAACAAGGGTTTCTTTGGCATTTTTAAGTTTTATGAGATAAAAGTTTTTTAGCACTAAAAGGGTTTATATATATATATATATATATATATATATATATATATATATATATATATATATATATATATATATATATATATATATATATATATATATATATATATAATTATGTGACTATAATTATTTTTGGTAATTTTAACTACGGGTGCGCAGTCGTGTCGAATTGCTTGTATTAAATATAAAAATAATATATATATATATATATATATATATATATATATATATATATATATATATATATATATTACTCACTGATAATGACACTTTCTATACGTAAAAAAAATTTTAATTTGATTAAGTAGGTTTTAAGTTTACGTATTACAAACTAACAATTAAATCTTTCCTCTTTATAATATTAGTGTAGATATAGATTAAATTACTTGTTTCATAATATTTTTATTGTAATTAATAGCAAATAGAGGCTCTTCGGGATAAGTTAGGCTCTGAATCCCAGCAGCTGAGCAGAACTGCCCACCTCCATGACCAGGCCACGACCAGAGTGCGTATACTGGAAGACGAGCGAAACATGCTCGAATCCAAAGTGCACAAGCTCGAGTCAGAACTTAACGCCGTCGAACTATCTCGGGACAATTTGCGGAAGGACAAAGCTAACGTAAGTTCTATTGAAAATACTTTTTGTTTATTTGTTCTCATTCACTCATTAATAATAAATACCTACAATATGTAACATGAAATTTCTTAAAAAATATAAGCTATTCCTATATATTTAATAAAAGTTGCATACACAAATATATTCCGTATCATACATATATATACAAATAATTTTGCGGTTATAGGATGTTTATTAAAATCTGTTGCTAATCTTGAAGAGTTGAACTTGAATACATGTTACAAACTTATCAAGAATGAAACACTTAAAACATGTCAAAATCCAAAAATTCGTTAGATACTGAATATTTCAACACATTTTGATGACAATAAAATAGTCAATATATCTATTTATAACAAAATTTATAATTTATAACTTACATATAAAAATATTTTAATATCAACCTTGTGTGGGAGGACGCGTTCTTACACGCATCCTCTGTTTCGTTCCTTATCATATGGAATAACTGGCGCCACGCGATTAGAAAAGCTTACCCCGAGTAACGGAAAAAGGCGGAAGAATATTTACATAATCAAAAATAGATGTATTTTAGCAAATTAAATAACCGTGTGCATTTATAATAAAGTCGCATACAATAAAGGAAATACCATTTACAGCAAAAACATCAGATACTTAAAATTACCTCGTTTTGCTTATATTAATTATGATCTAGTTTCCTAAAATTTATCTGTGTGTTCAACATGTAATAAAAAATAAATTGGTGTATATAATAGCTAAAACTAACATTAAAAGTAACTTTAAACTTAAAATGTGACGAATACAAAATATATCCATTTTAGTAATATGAATGGGTAATAAAAATGCGGAAACGTTAATTTTGTTGTTACAGTTTGTAGCATTCCTTGAGCGCCTGGGCAGAACGCTAAATATGGATGAGTTAACCCAGGATATTGGCATAGAGCTGCACACCGATTCCATTATCCACCGCGCTGAGCAACTAGCAAGGCTCGAGAGTGATAAAATTGTTGACAAGGTCAGCTATACGATGCAGTAGCCGGTAGCCACTCGGCTACGTGAAATGATTTCTGTATTGTACAGGATGTTGATTTAAATTTAATCCAAACACATACATAAATATTCTACATCCACAATATTATTTCAACTTTCTATTGTCCACTGTCTGCCTGCTTTATAAAAATTTCTAGAAAGAAAATATAGCTATGTCGATTATAGTTAAAACAGAAATATACTTTTCACGTTTTATTTGTCAAAAGTCGGCTGAAACGTAAACATCACCAACTTATTTAGAAAATAATTTTAGTGAAGTTTTTACGCAACATTGAAGATGTAGCTTTATAACAATTACAATAATAGCCTATAAGTGCCAGTACGAATTATAACACGTCATTATTAAGTGCCTATTTAGTAAACAATTTGACCGTGATAATAAATGGTGGCATCGTGGTAGGCGTTCAGGATGTGCAATAATTCTCGACTGCTTTTTATAAAATTACATATTGGTTCCACCTCTATAATCGAGTTTACCCTTTATATTTACTGGTGAAAATACGTTCCATTAAAATTTTTAGTTCGAAATAAAAAAAAAATATATAGAAAATTAAATTAACATCCTGTACAAATAACCAGAGCAACTTGCTTCAGTATTTTTTTTTCGCCTACACCTTTATTCAGAAGTAATTATTATTTATGTACATAATTACATGTGAGTGTTGTATTGTGTGCTAATGAGTGTCTTTTATGTATTTAGATGCTATATTACGGGTACTACGGTACACTGCCGCGACTACGCAGAGAAAGGTCATTCCATGATTTGCCTTATCTTAAAGAAGTAAGATTCTTATCATTCGAAATTGGCATGACATTGAAGTAGGTTTATTTCCTTTCGAATAATTAGTGTCGTCTGCTAATTGCTAATAGATCAATATTAACCACAATTGCAAATAATTTGTAGGTAGTTAGGAAGTACTTAACCTGTGTAGGTATAGGTTGGAATCGAAACCATTAGCATCCTTTTATAAGAGAGTGTTCTATCAGTGAGTCAAAAAATGACAAATATGAGAGAAATGTTCAGTTTCACTAATAGATCATTCCTTAAAAGGAAACTAATCAATACGATTACACCCTGTATATAGATACTGCCTGCACAAAGTATTAATTACACTCTTTTGATTCTACATAATTATTATTAATTAATGATCACTCAGAACAAAAACAAAATTCTATAGCGTGTTGTTAAATGTAGTACCTATTACAATCACCTGACATTTAGTATTTATTGTACCTACGTATCTACATATTTTATTTTTAGTCGAGTTTCATTTATTAATGTATTGGCATTTTCACTCACTGTTCAAGCTTATTGTTCAAATTTAATCTTTACTATTAATGTATTGAGATACAGTATTTTAAGATTTTATCGTCAGGTGGGTATAAGCATAAACTTATATTTTAAAGTAACCTCCAGATATTTAATATTTAATAAATGTTTCCTTCGCATGTATTCTATTATTTCAGACTGCAGTAGTTTACCAACTGCAACGTCGAATAAGGATCCTTAGGGAGCAATTGCAAAGGAAAGACTTGCATTTAGATTTATTGCGACGTAAACTGAGCATACAGGTTGGTAAAATTAAACTACCTATGGATATATGGTATACCTAATAAAATTTTGTACAAATAGAATAAACTAGTAAATATCTTCCTATATTTTATATCTATTTATTTAAAGTGAAAACTACTTTAGACAAGTTCAACACTTTTTGAGATGAAAGCATTGATAAAACAACTACCTCTCTAGCAAATGGTTTTAAAAACTCAGATTTCTATTATCGATGTAAAGATGTAAAAGTCCAAAAGAAAAATCAAAATACTTTATTCCTTAAAAGTAGAAATACATTTGGAATGCACTATTAGGTGCCGATTATAGGCACTTTAGGCAATATTTTTTATAAGAAAACCTGACAGAAATGACAACCTTTACAGACAAAGTTTATAATCATAATTTCAAGTTTTTTTATTGCTACTTTGTTTTTAAAATGTAATCTACTAAAGAGAAATCCCAAAACTATAAAATATCAATCAAAATCTTTTTTTTTTTATTTTTTATGATAATTAGAACAACAAATAAGCTAACAACCTACTTAATAGAAAGTGGTAACCGTCACCTATAGACACCATAAACATCACAGAGTACACTGTAGTCTAAAATGTCTTTATTACTCTTAATTCATTACCATTCCTGGCACCTACCTCATTTTTCTTCTAAATAGATAATCGGCTGTTACTTAGATCAGCTTAGATATTTAAACATAATTAATTAGGAAAGTACTAGGTAAAATACTATTTTCTTGATAGTTTATCTTTGTTCTTCTGGCTAAAGGCAAAGCTTAACTCCTACATAGTATCTAAATTAACACACATTATTATAGACATTCGTGATTTTAACGTCACGCACGGACTACCAATAAGGTTTTTTCACTGTATAAAATAATAAGGAAATTGACGCATGTATTTACATTCATCAATTATATTGTTCTATTTAGAACTTAATGAAAAGGTAACGAAGCTTTGTTGAAATTAAAATACAAAAATACTCTCTAAATGAAATTAGTGACAAATTGGAACATTCAACCAATTAAACGATTTTTATTTGTACTACCGGGTGCTTGGAAAAGATCGGACTAAAGACTGTCTTATGGTCGGGTCAGATATTTGCTTATTTACATTAAATTATAGTATTGAATGAGATTATAATTACTACTATTATTACTTAGGCAAAGATTAAATATTATAATAGAGCATTTCATATTGTGTATAAGACAATATATCGACATAAAGGAAACAATAAAGAGTATCTATCTATCTATCTAATCGTTTGAAGACCAAATCCTATTATATCCAATCTTGACCGATTTATTTTTATTTTCACACTTACAATATTGATAAAATTTAAATATTTTGTACTTATATAAATATAACTACATTATTAGTACAAAAATGTTCTGTACAAACAATTCCTATTATCATGTACCTACTATATCTTCTGTCTACCTGTTCAAAATTATCACATTGCTCTTAGATATAATATATAAATACTGTACTGTACTTCCTATTTATTTTTTAGTATTTGCTTATATGTCTATAATATGAACAAAGGACTAGGTGTTTCTCATTATGCCACTAACAAACAGGAAATGAGTCGGGATATTAGAAAGGAACAGTAGGGATTCTAGTATTAGATATCTACGCATTATCACAACTCACATCCTAAATACAAAAATGTTGTATGTACTCATATACAAACTTATTGAAAATAACTAATACAATAATTTGTTACATAAAGTGTCTCACATACTGACCTCAGGAGGAAGGCTCCCGCGTCCGCGCCGTGTTGCAGGCCGAGCGAGATGAGGCCGTGACACGCAGCAAGAAGCTAGCTCGCCAATGCGACAAACTCGCAGTGCAGCTGAGCGATGCGCGTGCTCAGATCCGCGACCTAAACGCACAGCTCGCTGACGCCGCCGAGTACAAGGTAATATTATTTGAGATGTCTTGGCAACATTATTCACTTTTTCGCCCATAGGTGTCATTTTTATTGTTAAATTAAAAATAATTGATTTTAAATATAGATTAAAAAAAATTATGTATTTATTGCACCAAGTAAAAAAAATATATATACACAGAAAAATAATAAGTAAATATTAATGAGAAGTGATACAAAAGGCGGCTTTACCGCTAAGCAATCTCTTCCAGATAACTTTCCAGAGAACATTGAAATAAAGATAAAGGGCACAGTAAAATAGTCCTAAAGGGAAAGGTAGTAGGATTTAACAGAGGTTTTGAAGCTAGTAAGAATTTGAGCGCACCGAATAGAAGAGGGTAGTGAGTTCCACAGGTGAACTGCCCAGACAGTAAAGGATTTAAAAGAAAAGGAAGAAGAAAGAGCAGAAAATTTGAGACAGAGGTTATTGACACTGCGTTAAATATTTAATTTATTAAAATAACTTGTGATAACTTCACCCTCGTACATTAATATTTTACTGTATTATTCAATCAATGAAAACTAGAGAAGGCTGTAACGCAAAACCAAATGTTGCGTTAGTTTGGCCATTTGTAGATGGATGAAAGAAGAATTACGAAAGAAATTTATCGAATAAGAATGAATGGAGAGGGGCCACTCTAACACAAACATATGCACGGACATATATAAATTAAAAATACCCGCAACCGGCGAGCGTGTATGAAAAGATAGATGAATGTGTAGGAAGCGAAAGAGATTTGTTTGAATCGAAACATTTGGCGTTCCATTATTTCTGCCTACCCTAATAGGGGACATACGTGACATATATGTATGTATGTAATTTTGTTGATATTGAACAAAGTCACGAAGTATTTATTTTTATACATATAATATGAAATGGCAAACAAGCTTTACGATCTACCTAAAGGAAAAAGATAACCATCAGCTTTACTCATAAATAGCACCATGAATACCACAGTATATACAATGTGATCCCCACAGAGTAATAAAAAAGCAAACCTAATTAAACCGATATTTTGATTTAATTAGGATTTTGATTTGTTATGAAGCGTGGAATAAAATTAATAAAGAGATACTTTGTGATCTCTTAAGGAAGTATAAGAAATACAATCTAAACGCTCGAGTTGTGAGCTTTAACATTATTAAAATTCCAAAGCATACAGTGGATTTACTGGAATAATTTACTAGCAAGGTTAAAATAATTTTCCTAAGATAAACGTGATCTCATTGGTATTTAACTATTGTAATTCGCCAACAAAATTATAATGTCTACATTTTTAAGTTTACCTAATTTTTTTTTCTACTGGGTATTATTATACTTGACTTGTTTGGGTTATTACCACAATAACATATGAACTAGAAACCAGATAATCAAAATCGATGCAAAATTGACAAAGACAGCATGTCACACTGAAATTTACTACAGTTGAATTTTTTAAGTCGATTGAAAAATAAAAATTTCTAAGAAGTCTCTTGATTCTCGGCATCAAAATTAGATTTTGTCTTTAAAATATTATCTCATATCCTTTACAATAATAGAAAACTGCATAATTGAAAGAAAGAAAGAAAAATATAAATTGTATTATACTCCTTTACACATACAATACACTAGTGAATTTTTTTTAAAAACATCTAAATTTATGGCAATTTTTCAAATAGCTATATTTGTGATAAAAATGGTCGTATTGGAGTAAAAAGCTTGAAGTTTCTAATATTTGGATCTTGCAAAAAAAATTTCATTTTTTTCCTAATAATCTGCATAATCTGAAAAAAAAGGAGAAACATTTTTTCTTGATTTTTTTACATTCCTATTGTAGAAAGGGATTTGAAATTCAAAAATTTTCAAAATAATCTTTTTTTTTAACCGATTATCAGAAATTTGGCAAAACCGCCAGCATTAGCGTTACCCAAAGCGACCATTTGGAGATTGCACGTTAATTTTAAAATTTCTTTTTTAATTTTCATTTATTATAAAATTCCCTCAATTGAAATTGAACCTAATGAAACTCTCATTTTACTATGAAATAACTTCCAACCAGAAAATCACAGACAAACAAACCTCTTTAATTATTGATTTATTAAACTTAAAGTGTAACATCCAATTGGAATGTGGCAGAGGCCTCGATATCTGAACCCACGATTGAACACCTTGTTTCTCCGGTCACGATTAACTGGCATGACTGTCTAGATTACAAGTTCTCAAACATATCTTTCATTGCCAGCTATAAAGATACAATAAAAATAAAAAAATATTAAAGGTAGGTTACAATATTTGAATACGTGATATAAGAACACATTGTCAATGAAGTTCTAATAGTGCGTAATATATATATATATGTATATTGTATATATATATATATATATATATATATATATATATATATATATATATATATATATATACGCACTTACTACTTTATAATTTTTTTAACAATAAGTTTTAATATATCCTAAATTGTAACTTATTGTTCTTTAAAATTAAACTAATTACTTCAGACGAATCACATTACAGTATGAAAACTGCAAAAACATTACTTACGCTGCTGTTAGAACCTCGCTGAAGATATATATTTAATTGTGTATACGATGCTGCTGTAGACAAAGCAATTAATCAAAGAATACCTTATGTACATCACTACCCTGAATATTTTTTTCGAATTTCATAAAGAATTTTACTTCTGTTTTTATTACTGTATTATTATTTTCCACTATCTACAGTAACGTCTTACCTTCTTACCTAGAGATTGTATATTGAATAATGGCAATCATTCGTTATATAGAATGAAATATGAAATTATCTGGTGTTTGTTACACAATTTGCAATAATTCTTTATTCTTTATTGTACACAAAACAATGTTAAGTACAATTAATTTTAAACGTAATATACAAAGGCGAGCTTATGTCTAGTAAAAGATTTCTTCCAGCAAACCTTTTCAAGTGAATTGAATTGTTATTTTAAAATAAATATAATTGTTAAAGTATTCCATTTAAAATCCCTCATATATCAAAATACAACTCAATTTTTTTTTTCAAACGAAATCGCGTGTGCCTCTGTATGCGAAAGCAAATAGGGAAGACTTTGAGAAGCTTTGCTTCATATCGAGGCAATCGTGCTATTGGTCACATTAAACTAGTTATTCCTCAGAAGATATACAATAAATTCTAATAAAGAAGTTGCTAAAACAGAGAAACCATTAATTGACATTATCCTTATTTTATCTATTCTAATGTGAGCACTTTAAATAATACTAGTCGGTAGTCTATACCTATACGTTTTATACACTCACGGCTTATTCAGTGCATCCATATAGTAGTTTCTACTCAGAAATGATGGGCCAATCAGTCAGAACTTATATTTAACTGAATAAAAATGTAAAAAAACAATTAAGTTATATGGTACAGAGGAATAGTATCATAGTCCTCAATAATGATAATTCATAACAGTTACCATGAACATCACAGCGGTATTGTAATGTTTATGGTGCCGTTCATCTCTATAGCCAAATATTTGCATTTTCCATTAATTGGACCATCAGCTTATCTAAGTATCATAAAAAAGTCACCGAGTATCACAAAGTAGTGTTCAACCGTAATACGTATAAAAAACTCTTAATTGAATGAATGTTTCTATTTGTCGCTAATTTTTATTTAGAGAATACTATATTTCAGTAATAATTTCAACGAAGTTTAGTTTCATTTCTAAGTATCATAATTTGAAAATTATCCTAATTTTATTGTATTTTTTAAATTTTATTGAATACAATTATTGATATTTCTTTTTAATATTAATATAGATGTACTTACATACTGTAAGAATAATAGGGAAACTGGCATACCAGGCCACAAGAGAAAGAATAGAAATACAAGTAGCATTCTACACAACTATATATCTTCTCCACTTACACAAATAAAACAACTAATATTCTTTTTTATAATATTATTAATCAAATATTAGTTTTCTATTTTATAAAAGTAGACAAGCATATTCAAATTTTATTGGCTATACTAAAAAAGTTATTTTTAAGACGTATTCTAAAGTTTTGTCGTTTGAACCTTGAAAATAGGTACACCTTATTGCTTTAGTTGTAACTCCACAATGGAATAAATGTACTTTTATTTCCAATAAAAACCTTTTAATATCAGATAACATCACTGGAACGCGCACGCAAAGTCGAAGAATTACAAAAGAAACTAGACGAAGCGGATCTTTTACGGGCTCGATATAACCGCAAAGTGAACGTACTTAAGGACCAAGTGAGAGCGACCGGCGAAACCTTTGAACAAGAGCGCACCACCACAGAACACCAGATTACAATGCTTAGAGATGACCTGGCTAGGACTAAGGAAGCTCTCGCTGAATGCCAGAGACGAGAGGCTCAGTTGCTAAGCTTCAGGTAAGTGGTTATTATTTATTAATTTTTTAAGTGACTTCTCCAAAAGAAGTGTGTGCGTGTATATATATAAGCTCAACTGGTTTTGGGCCATTCGGGGCTCTTAATCTAGAAATAACACTAACACGTAATAATAATAAACTATATATATATACTATATATTATATATATATAATCCTAAATATATATATATATATATATATATATATATATATATATATATATATATATATATATATATATATATATATATATAACTATCACACACAGCGCCTCTAATAAAATGCGCTCAAACTTTATATGCGTTAAAATACAATTCTTTATATGCAAAATACAAGGGTAAAACCCGATGTAAACCATTAGCATTGGGATTTTCAAATACCGTTATATAATAAAAAAATCTAGAAGTACAGAAATTAGTCGAGCTTTCTCGACCAAATTACACGTAAGCTAAACTTAAATGTAGTTATTATATTAAAATATAATGTGTACTTACGAAACTGAAGTAGAGTCTTTTATAATATAATTATTTTAAAAGTACTAGTTATACATAGTTTATATGTATATAATCAGACAGCGATATGATAATAGACGTTATTGTTTATACAGACATTCCATCGCTAAGCTGCTAGGGATCTTGGTACCAGCTTCAGTATCAGACTTTGAAATGGTGTCCAGGCTACAAAAGTTGATCGACGCACATCACGATTTCACTGTGGTATCACGGCGGTACGATGACCCAGCACTGCTACGTGCTTCCTCACGATCACCGCCGCCTTCCAGGTGCAGGACTAGGACACCCGAACGGTATGTAAAAATGCACCTAAATCAAACTGTCTGTGTACTTTGATTTGATTTATTCCTTAAAACAATGAGTTACCTATGTAATTTTTATTAAAATAATTTGCAGAAATAACGAATCACTAAAATAAAAATATTTTTGTTATACATTTATTGTGTACTAAAATACGTATCAGTGTAGATTATTATTGTTTGTTTGACTTATTTTTAAATGATTTATTTCCATAAAAAAAAATATCAAAATTGTTTATCTACTAATTAAACCAAGAATAAAAAATAGATATTAATCTGTCTGTTAAGGCATATATTGATGTAGATACCGATTTCTTGCCGCTGCTAAGACCTTGATATATAATAATTATGAATAGCTAATAATAAAAAGTTATATAGCATAGTATTAATAAATCACTTCATATGACAATCATTTTAAATATATTATACTCGCATACGTTCAGAAATATCTAATAATACCTACTTAGGTGCAGAACTTTTAATAAATTCCAACGATTATGCGTTTAAGAGTATAATAATAAGCTACCTAACTATTATTGTAAATATTGTATTGAAAAAGCCAAGCTCAAGTACAACTAACATTATAAAGGTTCTGTGTGTATCACGGCGATATATACTTGGAAAGTTACACAGAAAAATGTACTGTAATAATTTTATAACATTAATAATTTCCCTAAATAATCATCACATAATGATTAGTATGTGTTCAATTAATATTATACTAAAAAAAAATTAAATAACATCAATACCGTAAAAGTGACACGAAAAATTCCTCTATTAAAGGAACTTTGTAAGTTAATGTAAAAGTATAAACAGAATATGATAGCAGCTTATTTATGTTAAGAATGCGATTATCTTGTGTCTACAGATTGCATGGTTTCTGATGTCGATTCAAATATATTCAGATAAATGATTTGCATCAGCGTAGTGACGTGGCTGTTTTGATTCAGGGTCACTTGGTATTCTTGAATTATATTACTTTGAAGAAATTTCTTAATAATTCGACCTCCTAATTTTTTTGACTCATTTGAAAATTGAAATCAATAAAGGAATTTTTAATTTTTAAAATGATTTGATTATTAAACGCTTATGTGTGTGTGTATAAAAATATCATGTATGACTGAAAAAGTGATATTATTATAACTGGACTTAAGTTTATTATTATGTTAATGATACATGGTTGTATGTATAGAGAGATGATGAATATACCTAAAAACCTAACCTGACCCTGGTATAATATCTATATAATAAAATATGAATCCGTAGTTTCAAATTTCTCTCGTTTCGTTTTCTATTTTAAACTAACTACGAGTTTAAAATAGAAGACAATAGGCAATTAATAAAGTTATCTTTTGATGTCCTATTACTAGGTACGAATCGCTGTCCACTAGTCCATTTTTTTTGTCAAGTCCATATGTTGACGATGACTTTTATGAAAGTAAATATTGAATACTGTAATTTTAATTGTTGGACTCCATTTGACAACCCTATTTCAGGTCATTGCGCTACGATGACTCCGGGTACGCAGACCCAGCTTTCGACCTCGACGATGAGTTGTATAAAAGTCGCGCCGCCTTGTGACAATCACGACGCCGCGCCCGCTTCTAGCCGGACCCCGTACAGTATTGGGACATTACCATCAATTTATTGAACAATCAATTGTATAATTCTGAAGAGTCATAAGTATAACGGAAATATTAAAAATGCCCAAAGCTATAACATACCCAAAGTTAAAACATTCCCAAGATTTACCCTTCAATTCACCGATCTGTCATGGTGAATATTTTGACAATCTATATTATAAATTGTTTAATATTTTTTACTTTAATATACAGGTGAAATCGAAATCATTTGGTTTCATTTAAGGGAATATTCTACCAGTGTAATTAGATACTTTTATTTTTATTTATTAATATTATACCGAAAATGAAAAAATATTTTTTAAGCCTACCACTAAATTAGTTACTGCCATATCCAATTTTTTATTGAAAAAAGTTCAGTTTCTTTAGAACACTCCCTTTAAAAATACTAATAATTTCTATTTCACCTTGTGAGATGATGAAAGCGTACAAATTTCATTATTGCAATAAGGTTCTTAGGGAGAATGGTCGTCACAATTAATAATAAAGCAAAATCGACTTTAATGGGTTTTTAAGTAAAGAAAAATAGTTTCTTATCTCCTAATCAATCCACTAATGTCAATTGACCAACACATACTCTATTTTCAAATGGCGAAAAATTTAATAACGATACAAATTTTCTTTATTTATTAGACATAAAAAAATTTCATAAATTTACGAACATTGTCCTTTAAATTTCATACAGTATAATATAAACTAAATGTACAAGTTGTTCTGTATGCTACATATTCGCCGATAGGTAGGACTAAGATCTTATACAATATGAAAGTAATTCTGAATAATTGAAGATCCACCATGTAAACCTAATATTAGTCACCGTCAATAATTTTTAACCACATAGATACTCTTTTTAGGACAAGACCCGCTAATTATGTTATTTTATTTTTGTGCAACTTAGAATAACAAACAAGCTGACGGCCCACCTGATGGAAAGTGGTAACCATCGCCTATAGACATTAGCAGTACCGTGGACATAACAGAGTATACTGTTTCACTCATGATACCCCCCATGCGTTGCCACTCAGGTGTTGCTCCACTGTACCCTATAAATTCACTGCCATATCCCACCCTACAAACCGAAACACAGCCATGTATAGTTATGGTATATTGTTACTCGTATTAAAAAAAGGTTAGTGTGAATTGAATCTTATTTAAAATATTCAATTTGCTGAATTCGATTTTGTATTTCATACGAAATGCACTTGCAAGGGAAACTTAAAGTTGAAAAAATATAAAAATATTCTTTTAATTAATATTTGCTTGATAGCATAGAACATGTAGGTATAACTTGTGACTAAGTATAGATAAGTATCTAATTAAATGCAATTTATTCATATTGAATAGCAGTGTTTATTTATTGGAGCTAGTACGCTACCGTAATGTAAATAAATGTTTATATTCTAAAATTTCTTTATTTATTTTAAATCAATAATAGATAATTATATGAACTCCGAAAACTAGTAATTTAAATCTGTATCATTATTACTTATGATAATGTATACGTGTATGTGTTGAATGTGTTTATCAATTTATAATTGTTATTAGTCTCAAAAATCCAGTAACATTAGAATATTCAGCTGTCTCCTATAATTAAGTAATTGTATTAGCAGGTAGAAGAAAATAAATCAAAATGTGTTCATTCTAGTGTATATTAAATCACAAAATTGTACGATAGGTGATACACTTAGATATTTTATTAGGTATATATAACACATATATTATAAGTCAACACATGTTTACCTTGCCTATTGAATATTACCAAATATTATCTCATTTTTTATTGCACAATATATATTATAAGTTCAAATAATTTTCAGATCTTTAGACAGACGAAATGAAGCAATAGATAAAGTAGTAAGAACACTGACCCCGGCATAGGTATCGGTATAATCCCCACTTCTTTTTTAAATCGCACGATAATCATTCTAACTAGTGTTATTTAATTTGTGTTTATATTTTAAAAATAATATCGTTACAAAAAAATATTGATGCCGATTGTAACTGGCACTCTCTTCTGACACACAAAATACAATGTTTGTGGAGTTTCATAGCATTATAATTTTAAAACAAATACAAAACCTAACAATTATTATCTATTTTCCCGGGGTCATATAATAAGCGTTTAATATTTTTTAATATTAACTATGGTTCTGTTTGTAAATTATTATTTTTTTATCCATTTATTTTATTTTTTCTGATTTTAAATGCAAATACTCAAATATTGTAATCAATTATTAATACTTATATATCGAGTAAAAAATAAAACAATGTTTTATTTTTATCTGTATTATTAATTTATAGCTTAATAGCTATAATGTTCGTTACTCTTGCTGCGAAATGAATTTAGATATGACCATATTATAGAAACTAGGTAGATATTAATTAATCGCTAGGTACTTAAGTAGATTGACGCCAGTTTTAAAGATAAATATCTATGAGTATTCACTTTAAAGGAGCGACTCAAGATTGACAACATAAATATCATTACAACTTTATTAGTAACTAACCTCTTACCCGCTACTTTGTACGAGTGGATTTTTTTTTATACCACTGAGGTGGCAAACAAGCATACAGCCCACCTGATAAGTGGTTACCGTAGCGTACACCTGCAATACCAGAGGTTTTACGCGTGCGTTGCCGACCCTGAATAAACCTCTTTACCTCCCTTTTGAAGAACCCCATGCTGTAGTCTCTTGGGAAAACCTCGGCAGGGAGCTCATTCCACAACCTGAGTGTTCGTGGGAGGAAACATCTGTAAATAGAAAAACCAAGAAAATAGGCCAAATCTAGATGGCGTTTCGAGCACAAATTTACCACATTTTTAGTTAGTCCTTCAGTAACATAACTGCGAAAACCGCATTTAATTTGGTGTAATAATTTTTGCAAAATGCCAGAACAAACATACAGACAGACAAATCTCTAAATAGTTTTGGCTTCTATTACTCTTATTAAGACCTCTCTCAACAATTTTTCTTAAATATATCCTATTTACAAACAAGTGTCTAGTTATAATTCCATTATATTATATTAGTGAGAAGTGTATAATATAAATATACTAGGGACTGTATTATTCTAATTTTTCGAGAATTATGCTTTTATTATTATTATTTTACGCTGTGTGGTCCCGGCATGGACTGGGCCACCCCTTACTGCCCTTACTATAAACGAATGATCGAGGGTGGGCAGCAGCGTCCCTCTTAAAACAGCACCAAAGCCTAACTGCGGTTGCCCGCCTACCAAACATGGCAACTATTAGAGTCATGTGGGGTAAACGTACGCGGCGAAAAAGTGTCCGCAGTGAACATTCTGGGAACCCCATGGATGACAGCAGGTCGAGACCTATCGCGTTTAGTTAGCACTTGACCACCAAGCGAGAGTACTACGTCACAGGTTTGCTGCACAATGCTGTAGAAACTTACACAGCAGTATTGCTTTTGCACGGATTTGTTATTTTTTTCTTTAAAATTAATTTGCATAGTTACTGAAGCAATGTTATTAGTCTGATTGTATAATAAAGTGACTGAGAACAGAAGTTATTCAATATTTTGTGTGAATCTATTTATTTTGTCTAAGGTAAGTCATACTTCGAAATTTTATTATTTTTATTTGCTTTAATGGGATGGGGTAAGTGTCCAGGGGTAAGTGTCCGCATTAATTAAAATGCATACTTACCCAGTCATATTTGTTTGCCTTCTAGTTGACAAAATTGTTTCCGGAGAACGTGGTCAAACTATAACCGTAGTTTGTTGTGTTAATGCAACTGGAAATTATGTGCCGTCTGCATTTATTTTTCCACGAAAAAGAATGAAGGGTGAACTTATGGACGGAGCTCCGGCTGGTAGCATTGGCATGACATCTGATTCCGGATTCATCAACGCGGACTTATATTTTCAGTGGCTGGTACACTTCAAGGAATGCACTTCACCAATACTGATTATTGACAATCATTCAAGCCATATTAGCTTGCAAGCTACTCTGTATTGCAGAGAGAATAACATCGTTGTACTTACATTGCCACCTCACAGTAGTCACAATATACAACCCTTGGATAGAACCATTTACAGTTTTCTAAAAAATCAGTACGCACTTGAAGCTGATAAATGAATGGCACAGCATCCTGGTAGATCTATTAATCAATACCAAGTAACTTCTATTTTCGACAGAGCGTTTAAAAAAATTGCTACTGTAGTTAACGCAGCTTGAGCATTCAGGATGACTGGAATATATCCTTTTTTTTTACAACACAGGGGGTAAACGAGCATGCGAACCGCATGCTCGTTTGCCCCCTGTGGTAAGTGAGTACCGCCGCCCATGATCATCCATAACACCAGCGGCATTGCAAGTATGCTGCCGGCCTATTAAAAAGGAATATACTCTTTTCTTGAAGATTATGTTGTCGTATCGGTTCGGAAATACTGCTGCTGGAAGTTGATTCCAAAGAATGGTTGTGCGTGGAAGACGATTTATTTACAGAAGCAGAATTTACACCATCTGCAGTTACTGATATGTGTAATCTATCTGCTGATGCTATAGCTCGAAATATACCTTCTATGAACTCTATAAGCACAGTAGACGTTTAAAAGATACGAAGCCATAAAGTTATATCTGTTACCTTGATGGCACGACGCCTGTACAAGTTATGAAGAGGGTACATTCACATGTGATTTTTGTGCAATAGCAAATTAAGTTTACGTGCGTACACTTAACCGAAGGTGTGCGGATACTTTCCCGCCGATGGGGGTAAAAACCCGCGTTTCCCTTGTTCATTAAATGATTAAATAAAACTAATAATTATTGTTAGAATTGAAATTTTATGTTTTGTTTTTCTTCTCAAATGTTTTTAACGTTAAAATAAAAGTTTTTTTCTTTTCAATTATCAAAATCTTTTATTCTGGAAGCAATTAACTAAAAAATGCGTACGTTTACCCCACATGACTCTACATACAATACAATTATAATTATTTTGAGATTAGTGATGTCCAATAACGTAGTATAACATATGACTCGATCGTTTACTATTTCCCAAGGCTTTGCCTATATGCATCCGTATATAAAACATATTCGATGTTTTAAGAAAATGTATTTTACCTGCGTACAAAATTTCAAACGTTGAACCATTATTGGGAAACACTTATTATACTTATAATAATTATGAAAAAAAAAAAATTCTAAATACAATTTTATTCATCATATATGTTGTTAAAGAACGACCAATTTATTGTGAATAAAGCATTAAAAATTAAAACAAATCATAAAATCGATCTCGAGAAAGTAGGAGATGTAGGTAAGTTTTATCCCAAGGACTATCAGAAAAACATTTCTAGATTTAATGTACACAGCCAAAACTGGTTAGAGATTAGAAGCAATAAAGCATTTTGTAAAGAACTAAAAAGATAAAAAGAAACTCTCGTAGTATCATTTCTTTTAGCATTGTGTCCGTGACAGAAAATGTGAAAAATCTATTCCCTAAAGATATATATCCATACTAGTTTTTACCCGCAACTTCATCAGCGTGACTGTTTTATTTACTGACCGGGATTAAAAGTAACCTATATTATCTTTATTCCATACAGTACGTACATATATACCAAATTTGATAGTGATTCATTAAGCTATTAAGGTGCTATAAGGTAACAAATCAAACTCACTTCACATTTATGATTTTAAATAAGGATTCTCTACAAGAATATTGATGTGTGGCCCTGGCAAAGAATGGGTCATCCTTTCCTTTTCCCTAGGTGTTATAAGAGGCGACTAAGGGAACTTAATAGTAGAGGGATGCCAAGCGTGGCAACTATTGGCAAGTACTACCCATTTTATGGGGAAGTCATATGTTCAGTAGCATAGGCAATAGTGAACAGTTAATGGCTGATATGATGATAATGATAAAGATCTAATACATAAAAATACCTGTTTCTTATCAACACAAATTTTGATGAATTGTTAAAAACCCCTCTGGTAAACAAATTTAATTATGCAATTCGATATTATTAGTGATCTATTTTATACAAAAAGCATAATTATTATCAATTTGAAACAATATAGAACCTAAGTCATTAAGACTGATTGAATTAAATATTCTCAGCATTAATCGATATAATCTTCAATAAATTGACAAGTTCTCATCGTTGAAGTTCGAATTTATGATCGATAGTATTTCTTTTTCTTAAAGAAAAATAATAGCTTCAGTTTTGTATATGAGTATACTTAATTTAGATATCAATATTTGTTTATGGATGACAATGAGATGGTAACTCCGTCTGCGCTATCGGTACACGTTGATGGGGCACCAGTAAGAGAAGGTAAGTGCGAATGAAAGCAGGTCAGTTGGCCCATCGGCATGAATTCCACAAGTATTAAACATGATGGTTTCCGCGTTAAGGTCGATCTGACAGGATATATTACTAACAGTAGGGATTAATGTCCTAATTACTAATAATCCCCTGATACACCATATATATGATATTGGGAGCTCTAAAATATTAATCGACCACTAACTATTTTGTAATTTTGTGTCTATTTAAGACAAATACTTATTCTATTCTATGAATATTTTTATTTATATATTGCTTAGCTCCTTGCCCACTACTACCTACACGTAGATTTCAGTAATAATAAAACCAACGAAATATACCCTTTCTAAGTATCGTATTAAGATAAAACATACACCAGTTGTTAAGTTAGACCTTTAGGAATACAACTGTCAAAACTGTATTTAATTCGTTGCAGTTGTTTCTGCGTGATGCGAAACAAACATACAGCATTTCTGACTATAATAAGAACCCATTAGGTAATATTATTTTTTTCTTAAATATATCCCATGTATAGACATCGTCTAAGATTATATTTTGTGGTATAGAATATATAACATAATAATAACCATTAAAATTTATTACTGAATGATAGGAGCATTGTACATATTTCACTAATAATTAAAATAAACCATAGTTACACAGTTATATTGATAGACATGACAATTTGTCGGTTTATTAGCTATCAATTTAATAAAATTACATGAAATTTGGACACATGAGTCCTCTTATCTATCTAAATATATACGTCTGTTAACAAACGTTCTAAGCATATTTGTAAAAATATGTCATCTACCTCAATATTAAAAATCAAATGAATATTCTATTCTTGATTGAGGGTAGCATTCTTATTGAAATGTTAGTTATTAGTTGAATTGTTAGTTTAAGGTTATCGCGATCTCGGTTAACCCGCTCGTGTCTGAAAATCAATAGTTTCATTTGCTTGTTAAAAATAATGTCCTCTCAAATATTTTATTTCATTCTAATACTCAGTCCTGGTAAGTATTTTATTATTTCATTAAAAACCAAACGCATTATATTTAGGTACTAATTGTTACCACCATGCGGTTAGTGTAATATCTTAATCATTTTAAAACTTAGTAAATATTCTAGAAATTGATTTTTTTATTGCAAACTTTATGATTGTGGTAATATTAAATATTATCACGCTTCAATTAGTTGATAAATGTGTTTTACATTTTGCATTTTCCGTTACTCTCAGACAATTAGATACAACGGAATTTTTATAATGATTATATCAAATGGGTTTTCATGACAATCATAATTGGTTTGCCAAATAAGATTGACTTCTTTAATTCCAGATTAGGAAACTAATTTATAGTAATCGAGTAGACTTGCCTAGATCTCGTATGTAGTTTTCATGTGTACCTACATGTATTTTAGTTTTATTTAAGTAATACGTAGGTATCTATGTACTACATTAAAAAAAATTATCCCTATAATTCATAAAGGTTAACTGGTAATGAACATTATTAGCTTTAATTCTACCTTTTTATACCATTACCTGATTATATTTTTTGCGATCATGAAAGTTTTAATAAATAGTATAATTAACTTGTAACAACATATTTATAAGTTACGTTTTGCTTAAACATTCATATTAACTTATTTCAATCTCTAACTAGTTTACCCATTATTTGTACAATTCTATAAAAAACGAATAAAACTTTTCCTATTGATCACATTGTCGATGTAGCTGTTCAACACATCGCCTCAACTTCCAATGGTCACGAATTCCCCACACAATACAAACCTTTATATTCATGATTATATCTGTTAGTATTAAGCTAGGTGTTTTCTATAGTATAACCTGTGTATTTATTAACAAAAAAGTGTTTATTTACCTCTATCAGTTGTCTAGTGTCTATAATAAAAGCTCAACATAGTTTGGGTCTAGAAAACGCTATAATAATTATGTCCAGTGATATTTATTACTTTTTTTAACCAACAGCGCTATCAAGACATGTACCACGTTATTCAGACTTGGATGAGGAAGACCAGCACTTATTTCGTGCTGCATATGACACCCCAGCTTACAATCAAGACGAATATCAAGAACCTGATGACCTCCATCTCGGCAAGCTAGACTTAGTGAAGGATGGTTTGTGGGCTCTAAAAGCAAAAATCAAAGAACTAAAGGCGTTCGATAAAGCATTAGCTGCGAATATGCTAGACACTAAACTAAAAGTCAAAGATCTCCTCGAAAATCATTTGAAGCCGATAATGAATCATCACCATGTAGATGTGTATGATAAGAAGAAACCATATGGATACCAGGTACTACACTCATGAAATCACAATTAGTAATTAGATTAGAATTGGGATTAGTTTTCAAAAGATTTAATTTGCAACTTGCACTAAAATGCATCTATAAGAACAATATAAAATTATTATGTATATGTAATTTCAATATCAATTTTATTGGAATTTATTACAAAAGTAATATAGGATAGATAAAATGTTACATTTCTAAATACCTTTAAATTTAGTCAATTATTAAGTAGATTACCAACGCCCAATTGACACCAATAAATAAATATTTAGTAGAAAACGTTACCGAGCTAAAATTATTGCATAATAAATTTCACCTTACTCTGACTTATATTTTTCATATTATTCATACATAATCAGATAAAACGTCTTTATAATTAGGTATACTATATACCTATATGGTATATATGAAACAATTTAATATATCATTAAATGTGAAGGTTTATTACTCAAATATGTAAGGATCGAAGAGATTTAAATAAAATTTTATATACGGATGGGTATACCCTGAGATGCTTTTATTCAAGTTTACGTGAGACAAAACTCATTTATAAATTAGTTATATCTATAAACAGCTTACTATTAGTTCATATCTTAGTCTACTCACATTAGATAAACAACTACACTAGCTAGATAAGATACTAATTCATTATTATATATGACATTAATTAATATAGTTACTAGACCAACAAACACCACAGTATCCCTTTTTAGTAATAGCCTACTTAATACGTATAAATAGACAGCCTCGCTTTTTTTCCACTACTTCGTACGCGTGGTATCAGAAGTAGTAAAACCAAAGTATATATACAGCATTTCTAGATAACGTATCAAGACAAAACATACATAATTTTTTAAGTTAAACCAAGTTTAGACGAGTTAGACCTCAGATCTCAATATACAGCATCCATTTTGTAACATTATTTTTGCATGATGCTGAAACAAATAGACAAATATAATAAATTTTTTAAAAATTATTGTTTTGTATTCTTTTGCTCTTATTAAGATATTTAAGAAAAATTGACGTAAAGGAATCATAGCTACTTTTCTTAAATATCTGCTATGTACTGACATCGTCTCTTAACAATTTTAGTATATTAATAAAGTTACAAGTTAGTTAAATACCATAAAACAATTTGTGTTATTACTTGCAGGCACCATATCCACAACACGACCCACAGTATCCTCCTGAGCCGCACTATATTGCGCCTCCATATCCTGGTCCAGTGCCACAATACGGCGGCCAGCAATATGGACATGACCCCTATTATGGACATTGATTTTCACATTTTAATTATGCAACGCAGGACGTCTCCCTCCATTATTATTTAATTCTCATTACCTTCTTTATAAAAAGAATAAAGTGTTGAATTAATTGCATGCCATATCTTAGCACTTTTTTGATATAAATTATATTCTCTTATATTATGTTATTTCAATACATTCGCACGTTATCAGAACCCTTTGTCATGTGAATCATTTTATATATAGTCTGGTTCTCCACTCTACTACTAGAACCTGATACGTCATAAGAAAGTGCATTAATAAAATAAAATCTTAATTGGCAAGGTCAGTAGTACTGCAAAGTGTTGTAGTCGAATGCGGCGCGCGCGCAGGGCACTCGTGTACAAGAAGCAAATCGCTTTTCCAATTCGAACTTCGAATAACGATTTAGAAGGTTTCGCTTAGTTGTGCATAGTGTTTCCGGAGCCGCCAAATATCATTTAAAGACTAGAATTAAAAAAAAAAAACTTCAATATAAATTTGTAATTTTTATATAAAGATGATCTTATTATTAATACCCCAAAAAGTGGACATGTCTCTATCGATACAATAGAATCAACGAGTGTAATTACAGAGGTGTACAACCATTGTTCTACGACGAGATGATTAACGCCTATGTATGGATTTTCTTGCTGGTACGTTATATTCTGATAGTTTTTCATTTTGATACAATTATAATAAATGTACCTACAATGATAAAAAAAATGTACATAAACCCACTCATCGTCTAATTCACAATGTATGTATATACCTACTTACTTATTTCCTGGCCGGAAATATTATTACACATATTACCTATATTATTTGCAAATTCTAACATAAAGTAATATAAAAATTTTATTTTATTCGTTCAACATTACACATCCGTTATACTTAAATCTTTTCTGGCTTGGATCTGCTCTAGTTTTTGAAAATAGATATTCGCCTTAATGTTATAAGGTCTAATTTCTAAGAATTAATGTTTACAATTACATACCTATTATAATTCCAAGGAACATGCATATTGCCAATAATTGAAAATGACTTTTGACGTACATTTTTGTATGTAAAATTATTAAACAACTACAGAACAAGTAAATACCAATAATTACATTTCTCAACAATCAACAAGCTTAGTCAATTTAGTTACAACATCTGATCTAAGAAGAAAATATTATCAATGTACTTACACTTCAAAACTTCAGATGTAATCTACTTATCTATCTAAAAAAATATACTTATTGTCAGTGAAACCCCTATCAAGGGTTATAATTGTAAAAGTTGTAAACTTATTTATTACCTTTTTTTGTTATAATTATTCGAATAATGAATATCTAGTGGCACACAACAGAGATTAGATATACATATGTGTAATAGTTTTTCTAATGCTATTTAAACAGGCGAATAACTACTCGTAATTAGGCAGGTACACAGACATTCGAAATTAAAAAATGCGTATTCTCTCCAAGTAGTATATTTTTAATGAAGTCATCATAAACATACTGTCTTTCTATCCTTCATCATTATCATTATATCAGCCATTAACCATCAACTACTGAACGTAAGCCTCCCCCGGAGGTTGGCATAAGAAACGATCCCGAGCCACCTGCACCCACTGACTCCCTGCAATGCATTTGAAGTCGTTGCTCCATCTAGAGAGGGGAAGTCCTACACTGACTTTCTATTCTTGCTAATTAATTAAATTTAATAATAATGTATTTAGTAAACCTTACAATATCCATTGTATTACTTTTTAGAACAGCAATGACTCAACCACATGAAATATGGTGTACCTATATCACATGAAATGTAGTATAGACATACAATGTACATACTATATTCCATGTACCTACATGTAGTACTTGGACGTGCAAAGAATATAGGACACTTTTTATCTTGGTCCATATACTGATATAATTCCACGCAACTCAAGTGGCCAGTATGTTAATTTATGATAGACGATATCGACCCTGGAAACGTTGTATACAAATACATAAAGCACCAGTTAGTGAATTTTACAGGAGAGCTAAAAAAAGTAAAGAGAAGGAAATATGAGTAATAATAGGTAGAATGAATAGTAAATATCCGTATGTGTAGCATACCCACTTACAAAAAATAAAAGAGAAATGTGAAACTTCTCATCAACCGACTTCAAAAAGAAAGAGGTTCTCAATTCGATTTTTTTATGTTTTTTTACTCCTCATAACCCATCAGTTATAAACCGATTTGTAAAATTATTTTTTGTCTGAAAGGATATACTTACAGATTAGTCCCATACAAAATTTGAAATTTGTGAAAATTGATTCAATAATTTAGTTTTTAAATTAAAATAACTTTTACTACAATTGAAGTTTTTTTTTTTTTTTTTTGTGGAACACAATCTTAAATAATTTTAGAAGTTGCTCCTTAATAACTCCTTAATACTTACCGTTTAAAAACATTAAAAATATTATTCCTTTTTTGGTAGGATTTATGACGAACGAAATGTTAAACTCCATTTACTGGGCCGATTTATGTATAAACGAAAACACGAAATTAAGTCCGAAACTTCGGAATTTCATTTCATGGTAGGCCCCCAGGTCTTATTTTATCAAATTCTTCACGGTGGGCTAACTCATCGTGAAAAATTTTATAAGATTTAACGCCATGGTTTCTAGAGAAAACCACGTGAAAGACAATCTAATAAGGTATGTTACTAGCAATGAAACGGTAAGGCCCCATTGATGATCACTTGGATATGTTTGATGAAGGAAAGGCAAGCTAAGTGTTTCGTTTATAACAACGCCAGCACTATTTTAGAAAAAGCCCCTGACTATTCCATGATCCTAAATGTGGTAGTCAGGTATAATATGATCATTTAATTTCAATAGCACTGTCATTTAATATCGTTTTAAATTTCTGATTTTATATATGATGTTAAATATCAATTTATTATACCAACGGAGTGTAGAAAACAAAAAGTTTCGGAATCTAAGATCTTAACCATATTTTATACTTACCTCTTTCCAGTGTGTGAATATCTCTCATTAATCTTCTCCATCGCTTCGATAAAAAAGGAAGAACAAATAAAATGTAGTTAATAAATGCCACGCTGATATTTACATAAACTTGATCGGTGACAAAGAAAAAGTGCTCTAGTTGAGGCGGTTGCAAACCACTTCCTGATGCAAACGCTGCACATTCTTATAGCGTATATTTTTTATGCTAGATATAAAAACCGACGCCGTTTGCGAGTATATTGACGTAATTTTTACTTGAATTAGTATTGTAATGTGTTAGAAAATCTTTATTGTACACACTGTAGTTTAAAAACACACTTTAAAAAGATTTAGTATACAATGGCCGAATCAGTTTTTACTTTTCATTCAATTTTAATAAATTACTACTGTAAAAATATTTATATCACTTACCTACTTGTAATCTTGGCCCAAAAGTTATATTGTCGCCAAATTAACAAAAATAAAAAAAAATCAGTGCATTAACATCTAAAGCAATTACTCGATCGATCGATCAATGACTATCATTCACTTTATTACATTATTTGAGATCGAGGCACTAGGTGCACTGATCCAACCATGATAAGTGCCAACCGTCATACGAAGGCTGCCTCTCCTTCGATAGGTACTTACTACAGATCTTTTCTGCAATTTCATATATTATTATTATTTCATTATTTGTACCAATAGACTAGGTACAATCGCACTTCATCACAAAAAGAAACTAAATTAAATACGATACTTGCCTGTATATTTTTTTTGATGGTTGAAAATGGTATGGTAACCCCGCCTGCGCTAACGGGATACGCTGGCGGAGCACCAGTGAAGGGTGATAGATGAGATGAAAATGGGCCAGTTAGCCCATCATGATGAATTCATGAGGAATTAACCATGATAGTTTTCAGGGGGAACCGCGAGGAGGTCGACCTGGTTGGGTATATTGCTAGCAATGGGATTCTCAGTCTCCATTACTAACAATCTCTTCCCCCCCAATTCTGAGGACTAAAAATGACATTATTGTGTCCCATTCCAAAAACTATATCTATTAGTGACTTTATATGTAATTTAATGATAACACTATACGTAATAAAATATAATATATAACAGAGCTGAGAACTAAGCGAAGGAATCATGAAGGCAGGTTAAAATTAAATATACAATGGGACGATGTACAAACCAGATCACAGATCCAAAATAACTATACAAAAGATATAGACAAAACAAAACATGAAGAATCCCAAAATAAATTATATCTAAAACAAAAATATAAGAAGTTATTCGTACTATCAGCTAGTCGCCAATAGATAAATTTGCGTTTTTCTTTTCTTTCGCCATAGATTAAGGATAATTAACACCTGCTTGCATTGGTAAACTCATATTGTGACCTGTTTTTCTAATCAGCTATTATAAAATTCTGGTGATAAAAAGAAGTTGTAACATTATTTTTTAAATTTTTGTTCATTTTTAACGATACAGGATGTAAGGGACAGGTTGGCAAAAACTGAAACTGAATTCAGATAATTATTTCCGGAAAATATAAATCTTTTCCTTTTTTTAATTGAAAATTATGTAATGTTTAATATTATGTCAAAATATGAAAAAATAATATTTTATAGTGAAATATCAAAAAAACATCAATGCTACACGCATTAAAATCTTACCACGATGCGCATAGTCAGCTATGTGAAGTCATCATCCATATCAATCTGCCATCTGATTCGGACCATTCATCTGAATCGGCTGTCTTCGTTTTGACCAATCTGTCCCTGCCACATATAAGGGGAATTTTATATGTAATAAAGTTTATCATTTCTGACAATTGTTTGACTTCATCCGGAAGTCTACTATACTATACATATAGTTATATAACTGCTGAAAATAATGCTCAAAGTTTTATTTGTCATGGAACCTCATTGCTGTTTTAAATAATTTCATATTACACCAAATTTATTATTATAAGAAACTATAATAAAAAACTTCCTTTTACGTAGGTGTCGTAAGATGCGACTAAGGGAACTAAATGGTTGAAGAATGGGCAGCAGCCTTCCTTTTAAAATATCATCAAAGAACTATATATGTATATATATAAACGCATATAAATATGGAAGAAGAAGATAACCCATAGGCGAGCATAATAATCAAATTAATTAGATGTTTACCTAGTATATATTACTAATATATGAACTTTATCAAGGCGCTGCAGGCAAGAAGAAAGTCATAGAATGCTACTTATATACAAATGACAGGTGCTCCATAAGGATGTAATAAAGAATGGAATGATCCTTTGTGCTCTCAAGTTCTTTATCATGGCACAATTTATTTGCATCCGACTTTAAAATACCGCACGATCTGGTAAATCAGAACTGGTTTGCTGGCCTCACCCTTTATAGCCAATAACGACTTGTACAAAGCATATACAGCGGTATTAAAATATAATAAAATCAAACAACCTAACCGATTCAAGGGGTTTACTAATTCAAGTTGTACCACTCTAGTAGTGCCTGTGACGTCATTTGAATAACTGGGCTATTAGATTGACCAGGATAAAAAGTAGCCCTTCTTATACCAAAAACATTTAAGTATGCCAAATTAGCATGGAAGATTCATCAAGAATCGAACATTACCTATGAGAAAGTTTATTAAGATATTTAAATATTTGT